AAGAGTCCTGGATTCACTGGATAGGAGTCTCTACTTCCTGGTCTATAAAATGGAAACAAAATCTATGCTATCCAAGTTACATAGAAATTAATTGGAGTGTCAAGCATAAGTCAGGTAGACAGTAGGTGCTTAAAAAACAGCTTCTCTTGATGCACTAGCCCATTTTCAGGAAAATAGCAGATCCAGGTGTTCCAAGAGCCAGTCCAGGAATCATTCCACGCATTCCTTCCTGCCTGGTCTGTGTCCTCTCAGAGCCACTGTGGGAAGAACTGCAGACTCCCAGATGGAGATTCCGAGATTCACCTTCATGACAGACGTTCTTGCAGAATTAATTTGCAGCATTGCTGAGGTGCGGTAGTGGTGAATGTGAGTGATTTTTTTTATAGTGTTACAATAATTTATCATCTTCTCTTCAGCAGCCGTACTCTGGCTGGCAGCTCTAAAAACCCTATAGTCGACGAGAGAGCAGTGAACAGAAATATTTTCAAGAGCAGATGGGACGTACCTTCAAAACGCAGGATTGTCCCACTGAAACTGGGACATCTGGCAACCCTAAAAAAGCCCAAACTAGATGAAATAAAAATTATGAGATGGAGAAGCAGAAAAATATGTCTTTGCATTGATTAGCAGAGAATGTAATTAATCTCCTTCAACTCCCTTTTCAGACCTGCAGTGTAAAACAAGGAAAAATCGCAGTCTTCCCTGAGTCCCCCTGTGACAATTCTTACGTGATGCTCTCAAAGACGTGTGAGTTTTAAAACTTCATAGTAATGCCTCCCTTCTATTGCGTGCCACTGTCCAGGGAGCTATCAAATTCATGCCTAGACTTCCTCATGCAAAACTTTCTTATCAGTCTGGCCAACGCTGAGGGAGAAGCTTCAGCTGACTGGAATCAAGCAGGTTTTACAGTTTTATTAGAAAATTGCAAAAATAAATCTTTCTTTCTTGTTAGGTCTCTCTCTCTCTCTCTCTCTCTCTCTCTCTCTCTCTCTCTCTCTCTCTCTCTCTCTCTCTCTCTCCCTGTCTTGAACCCAGAGCCATGTGCATGCTAAGCACACCACTTGCTTGCTAATAAACTGCACTCCCGGCCCCTAATTTTGTAGGGTTAAAAATCAGGAAGGGAAGAGCAAAGGCGCGCCAAGTGAAAGGGAAGGAGAGAGGATTCTTGCCCCCGCACCTCCCCTTCCACCTTTGACCTCAGTTCCCAGAGTCCCAGCCCTGCTTTTCTTTTTAACCCCTGCCTCTCCTTTCAGTGCTCAGGCTGTGCTGGTGCCACCCTGTGCTTCCTCCTCTTCCCCGCCTCACTTGGGCCCAGCACAGCTTCTGAACTGCTTTAGGGACAGAAAAGCATAACACTAGGCGCTGGCACAGGCTGGGCCCTCGCATTGACCAATAGCTGCACTTAGGGTTAGGGTTAGATGAGGTAGGAGTTAGTCCCTGAGTTCAGGTTACTGCCTACTAAAGGACGGGTCAAAACACAGGGTCAAAAATAAAATCTAAGAAGTCAATCCTGCTAAAGCCAAATATCCACTCTTCATAAGGGCAGTTAAGAAGTATGAATTTCTTACTAAATTTGATTTTATTTTCCTCACTGTGTACTTGTGCCCACTTCTTTGATTAGAGAAAAGTTATGAACTGAATTGTTTTCTCTTCCCACCCCAAATTCATGTGGATGCTCTTGCTCCGCTGTGAACAGAGCCAGATTAGGTCATAATGGAGTCCTCATGGTGGGATCGGAGGGTTTATAAGATGAAGGGTATGCTGTCTTCCTCTCCTCTCATCCCCCTGCCTCTCCTCTCCATCCCCTCCTCCTCTCCTTCTCTCATTCACGGACCCTAATGGAAGGACACAGGCAGACATGTGCAAGCCAGGAAGCAAAGCCTCAACTAGAAACCCATTCGCCAGCACATCAGCTCCTTGACTTCAGACTTCCAGATCCTAGAATTAGGAAACAAATTTCCGTGGCTTGAAAGGGCCAGTTTATCTTTTGTTATAACAGCATCAGTTGGTCAGTACAAGAAATACTATGCTCAAGGGCACACAGCTGTAGTGGTGATAGAAGCTGCAATAAGAATCCCCCCCCCCCCACTTTCCTTGTGATACACGGCATAGAACCAAGGGCCGGTGCGCTGAACTATGTCTTTGCCTTTTAAAAATATATACATTTTTACTTTGATACAGTCTTTCTGAGTTGTTAAATTGCCCAGGATGGGTTAGAACTTGCAGTTCTCCTGCCTCAGTCTCCCAGAATGCTGAGATTACAGGTAGGTGCCACCATACCCAGCCAAGAACTCCCTTTTCTGACTGCAATCTCTGCTGGATTTCTGCTACAGTGTGTGGTCAGCTCAGGCTCAGGACCTATGATGTGTTACTAAGTAGACCTCACTGCATAGAAGTAACTCTCCCATCCTAGAGTTGTTTTTTGGACCACAGCCACTAATGTTGAGAGTGAAAAGGGAAAAATTGGGTTGCCCTATCCCCTGTGAGCTGTGAGAGCAAGCAACCTATCTTCCCGAGCCTCAGTTTCCTTATGTGAATATTGGGAATTTGGGAGAATTAAAATGGCTGATAAATTTTAAAGAGATTTATGAGCAGTTAAGCACCTCACAGTGACAGAGTATACATTTTACTCAGAAGGTCCCTCAGAGGTGATATAGCCTATTTTCTCACTTTGCACATAAGAAAAAGTGATAATAAACGTGATCTTTGCCGGTGAATGCTGCCAGGGTTACTTTTACTTCAGTCCTGGGGAGCAACTCTGAGGGCTCTGCTGATCTGCACAACTAGGAAAAAATTCAAGACCTGGTCCCTCCTCAAGCGTGGGAGGCATCAGAGCCAGCGCTTGCAATGCTTTCAGGGCTCATTGATAATTTCTTTTTAACATCAGGATAAGAAAAAAATGAACCCTTAGGCCCAATACAATATTTTAGCATATAAATTTAATACCTGCGTCTTTATACCAATGCCATCATAAGCTGTACATTTTAATACATACAAGGTCCACAAAGGCAGAAATGCCCAAGCGGAGCCCACAAAAGTCATCTTGCAGATCTGAGAGCAGAACCATGGGATAGGAGGCCTTGTCACATCCAAGAGAACAGCCCCCTCCCTCGGGTCAATGCTGCTGTCACCACCACCACACGGGACTGTCCAGTGTTCTAAACATGCCCCACTGTCCTCCAGAGTTGCCCATCTGCACTCTCCTGCAGCGCCATCTGTACCACTCAGCCAGTGCTCAAATGCCGCCCACCTCTGTGTCTGTCCTGTGCTGTATCACAGCTGTGTGTCCCTTGGTATTACCCTCTCTTCCTGGTATCCACACTGTTCCCTAGTCATCTGTGTCCACAGTTCATACAGCGCCTGCATGTGATGCAGTGAAGCTTTGGGGATCAGTGTCACCATGTAAAAGCCAAGTCACACCTGCCTAGTCAGCTCGCACCTCTGCCTCTGGCTTCACCTGTCAGATGAGAGTGTTGGCATCATTTCCCTCCCAGGAATCATGGAGAGATGATTTGAAAAGACTCACTCATCCACGTGCTGACTGCAAACAGCAGCAAACACCCTGCAGTAGATATTACACTTATTCATTATCACCCTGATTAATATTGCCTTCACGGATCAAATTCTAGACCCTAAAGATACAGAAAGCTCCTAAATAAACAGTCTAATGGGAAATCAGCACACACAGGAGATAAATGAAAGTCTGATTTTAGAACCCAGACTCTCCCCTACAATTTGGAATCATGAAAGGCATTTTAAAGGCCACAGCATGACACCAGACCCTTGGAGAAGGGCAGGAGTGCCTACTCTGATGAGAAGGCCACTTTTCAAGAGAGAGTTCTCAGACTTCACCCCAAATGGCACATTAGGTTTGGAGATTAGCGAGGATGTCAGTGGGGACAGGCACAGGTCTCTTCCTGGACAAGGAAGTGAAACAGAGAGATCTAGGTTACACCTGGAGATTTGACCCTGTTTGCACAACCTTATGGAGCTACAGAGTGATCCACTTAAGTGTATACTGCAGGAAGATCACAGTGGCTCAGGATGGGGAAGCTGGGAGGGGTAAAGGACGCTGTCCTTAGTCCACAGCTTTGTTTGTTCGGTTCAGTTTTAGCAAGAGTGCTGCTGGGCGCTGCTACTGTTGTATCTGACCATCCTTGCTGTCTGATTAAATCCTTTTCCTCCACCTTCCATGTCTTATCACGTTGGCCTTCTTTCAGCAACCATCTTGTGCAGTCAGCAGAGCCAGAATCCCCTTTTCCCTGGATGTTAGATTTTAGGAAGTTCCTATCCACAGACCCTACCCCATTCTACAAAACCTCACTTGTCCTCTGACAATCAGCTCAGACCCTTTCCCCAGAATCAAGGCTCCCTCACAGCAAGCTGACACCTACTTCCTGAAACTTCAGGAAGCCTCCTGAATAGTCTTTGCTTTAACAACAGTCAGAAAACTATTGTGAGTGTGAGCTCAGGGGTCCAGGGTTGGATCTGAAGAAGGGAGATGTGGATAGGAAGACTCTGAGGCCAGACCTGAAGGACTCGGCAATGCTTGTGACAGAGTGTTTGTAGGAAGACACAGTGAGGGAAATATTGAGGGCGGTTGATTCTTGGTTCTCAGGCTGCACAGCTGGACTGATGGTGATATATAAGTGAAGACAAACTGGAAACGAGGAATGTTTGTGCCCCTGGAATACCTGTGGAGTTAGCTGCAAGATAGCTGAATGGATGGGCAGGGTGCTCAGAAGACAGATCTAGGTTTTGTGTCAAGCTTTGGGAGATGATTGTGGAAACCATGAGACTAGCTGACAACACTAAGATAAGGAGACCTGAGCTAGAAATATGAGAAATGTGAATATTCAAATCATACACATTTCTACTTCCTTATTAGTCTGTAGGGTTTTCATAGGTACAGTCACGACTTTGATATTTGATTCCTTCCAGCTCATTGGTTTTTGAGTTGGCTTGAGGTCCAAGTGCTCAGAGCATTTAAATATGCTGCCCACAAAAATATCACCAGTGTGGTGACCTTTCTAGGAGCCTCGCTGTACTTGGCAGGGAGAGTCTGCCACCGCACTGTAAGTTGGAAGAGCTTGATTTCTGGGAAGATGGTAGAGTCGTGAAGAACAATAAATCAGTCTTCAATCAGAATCCAGATACCAGGGAAGAAGGGGGAGGTGGATCCCTGGAAACCAGGGAGGGTCAGTGGGAATATTGGAGCCTACTGAGAAATTAAAGAGACAGTTGGAGGAGCCTGTCCTTGAGGTCCCCAACTATCTCTGACCCAACTCCTTGGCACTGTTGGGTACAGTAAGAGGATTCATCCTTTGGTGTCAGGTAGTTTGATGAGAATCAAAAAACTTTTGCCTGCAGAACTTTAAACCTGGGCCGTTGGGATCTAGTTGCAAGAATTTCATGACATAGTATATTTTTCTGAATTATTCATTGTCTTCCTTGTCCACAGGAATACTAACTTTGCAAGAATAGTTTATCTGGGTTCTGCAACAAACCATAGACACATATACCGTGAGTATTACATAACATGAATATGTACTGGATCACATCAGAGAAAAAATGACAAACAAAAGAGTGTGGCAGGTCCACAATACTTCAGGCTTGTTATCCTTTAGAGGACGGGTCCTAGGGTAGGTCTACCACAAAAAAGGCTTCACAGAGAGAAAGCCTTTGAGGCCGTGAGTTTCAGCATATTAACAAGGGCAGGCAGGGACAACTGGTGAAAGTGGACACTTTTGGCTAGAAGCTTCATTAGAAAAGAAAAGCCTTCAGAGACTTGTGGCTGTTTGCTTCTCTTCCAGTTCCACCAGCTCACACTCTTGGCTAAGTCACTGGAAAGGGAGGAAATGAACCCCCAGGGCCATGCCAGTATGTCTCTTCTCACTGGGGTATCCAGGACTGGCTTCTAAAGCAGTGTTCAGCATACAGGAAGCAGTTAGAAAGTAGTTTTGAATGAGTAATATGCCCCACAGTATCTAGTACAGATCTTGGTATTCCAGGTATTCAGTAAGTGAACTTTCCGTCTGCCTTCTAGATGCTTCCAAGACTCAGGCTGATTTTGTACCATAACCTTTACTCCCGTTTCTATGCTCATGCACTCTACTGAGGCCTACTTCTTCTTGAGACCATAAATACCCTGAGTTTCTTTATTTTTCCCCCCTCCAATCACATTTCTTGGACTTGTATTCCACCTTTTAGCCCTCCACTTTCTGTTGGACAGCAACACTTTATAATAAGCCAATGAAATGGAGATCTGGATCCTGTCAGGCTGTTTGAGCCAAGACTCTCAAAATTCCGTATCTTGCTCAAGCCATAAGAATGGCAAAGCCAAATGCAATCTCAAGTCCATAGCTCTGTAGCTGCCTCCCGTGGGAAGTCTTTGTTCTTTGAAAAATCATCTTCCAGTAGATCTCTGGAGAAGAAAACAAAATGACTGTTATCATGCCTTTCCAGAGGAGCCAAACATACAGATTGTTTTAGGTGGGATATTCGACATTAATGGAGATAATTCTTGTGTTCAAGTATTTCCCAGATCTACCACTTAGCACATGTGTGACCTCAGGAAAATCTCTGTATCTTTCCAGACCTGTTTTCACTTTTGCAACATGAGAATAATAATTCTGTCCTTTCTACTTTGAGGACCATTGGAAGAGTCAAATGTGGAAAGAATCAAAGACTCAAGCAGGCAAAAAAGCTTAGAGGATTATAAAGTTGTTCAGAACATAGGAGATCTTCCTTTTCCAGTATAAAAACGGTCAATTATGACATGAATACCATTTAGGGCCTCTGAAGATTGAGTCACAGTATCCTTTGTGTATTTGTTTAGATTCTAAATTCATTTTTCCTAGGAGGCATTATGCATGTTTTAAGTGTGCTTTGTAAACTTTTTTAGTCAGCCAGATTAAGTGTCGTATTGTCTACTCTGGCCATTGTCATCATCTCAATAAACAATGCTTTGAGGCTTCAGAGCACCCCGGATAGAAGGGACATCCGCCAAGGGATCCTTTGGTCCGTGCCTCTCGCCAACTGGCTCCTTCGTGGAGTTGTACGAGCGAGGAAAAGGACAAGGCTCTTGGATCTGCGATGTCTGAACCGACTCCTGCCAAGTGGCAGGGACAATTTTAGTGCTGCTGAGAATCTGACTGCTGTTCCACCCACCTCCGCCTTCCCCTTCCTCCTGTCCTTGGGCTCGCAGATGCTGCCTGCCTTCTGCTCTCTCCTTACCAGCCTCTTGCATTTCCATGTCTCCTCGCACTGCTTTCTTCACTCCAGATTCTCATTCCTGACTTTCCCTTCTTGTCCCTCCCCTCCCACAGTGCACACAGTCACAGGCTGCTTGGTTCCCCGTGTGCATGTGTGCTGTGTCCTCCCTCACCCCTGGTGAGCAGAGGTGATTTGTGCTTCTCTTGAATCCTTACAGAGTGGGTGATAAGAATCCTTTCTAGTGCAATCTGCACCTTTGGTTTTCTTTTCTTTTTTCCCCTGGTCACAGGATCCTTTGATTATCTGAGCACCAGTTCCAGTTGTGCCCACCTCTGACCTACACTTTCACCTGACTGCAGAAACTCAGAGTGGAGATTCTAAATATTAAGCCTGACCAATCTCACTTCTAGAATGCCCCTGTCATTGCAAATAAAATCCATAGTCAACAGCCCTGGTCTACTTTAAAGAAGTTCTGCAATTAAGCCCTTAAGTAGTGCTCTAAGATATTCATTGCCAGACACATCTATCTATGGCACACTTAGTGTTGCTCTTTGATGGCATTGCCAGAGAGTGAATGAATGGTGGACGCTTAGCATGGAGATGTACAACGATGCAGTGGAAACAGAACAGAATAGGGGTTAGACCTGTGTTAAGGACTCAGCTCCTTATTTACTAATATGGAGCTGTTAACCTCTTTTAACCTACTTTGCTTTCTGCATATTGATAAATTCAGTTCTCTTCCCCAGGGCTGGGGCTAGAGAAAGGTGGAGTAATTTTGAGCACAACAGTTAAAGGAGCGCGCGCGCGCGCGCGCGCGCTTACACACACACACACACAATCAGGAATCAAGACAACGCTATCTTAATACAATGTTTTAAAAACTACTTCACAGAATTAATGCAAAAAATTCATGGTAAACAAAGTTTACAAACTGTAAATAAAGGCAGGCCCTGTTCCTGCTCTAACAACTTAACCTTGCTCGCTTCTGCCTGACTTCTAAGATCCCTGCGAGGGTTCCACCGGCTTAACCCGGGTTCTGTGGTCCGACCCACCTTCTTTCTAAATCATGGAGCATGAGCGCTACTCACATACTTGGGTCTATTTTTCAGCTGTTGTTGACCTGCAATATACAAAAGTTAAAAGTATTTACATATTATTATAATTGTGCGGAGCGATTGTATGCCTTTTCAACCTACCTACAAAAGTGGACTTTTATTTTGCATGTGTTTGGTTACTTTTTTCTGCAATTTGGTGGGGGGCGGGGGGGGGCTGTAATTTACCAAAATTTCGGTGAGCAATGAAACAGAAGCAATTTTATGAAAATGCTCCTTCATCGCAAATGGTTTAAGAAGCACAGCCCTGAAGTTTAAGTCAGCCTCAAAGCTCTGTGGTTTTCTGTTTGTTTTCTTTCTCCCTAAGAGATAACCAGAGTGTGGGAGGCTCTAGACCATACCAGCGCCAAGCACAGACCATTGCAGTCTATGGGAACAGCGCCCCCTCGTGGTAGGAGCGTAGCGGCCCTGTGTAGGTCCTGTGGTACACATTTCAGGTTATCACTTTTCGTTTTTGTTCTTCACTTGGTACTGCATTCATCTGGACAATGTGTGCGCTTGTCTTAGCCGCTATTTTATCGCTATGATGCAATGTCAGACACCTGCAGTTTAAAGGAGAGATTTATTTTGGCTCACATGTCAGATCAGACTCCAATGTAGAATGGGTTGCCACCGGGCAATGGCAAAGCAGTCTTCCTCAACACGTGGCTGACAGGAAGACCAGCAAGGTCAAGAAAGAAGCCAAGGAAGGAGACAGACCCTTCCAGATCAGCCCAACAGTGACCCGCCTTTTCTGACCGGACCTGTTTCCTCACAGCAAGTCAGTTATAAGCCCCTCGATTCAACCATCTTCCAAAAGCTCCACCTCCATGAGCAAACAAAGCTCATGGAGGCATCTAGATATAAGTCTTGGCACTATCTGCCCATTCATTCAGTGAATACTTACTGAGTCCCCACCCTGAGCAGATGCTGGGAGAGTAATGAATGAATTTGAAATGGTACCTGCTCTTAAAGAGCTTATAATCTCTTTGAAAGTCCAGAAGAAACAATTAAAACAAAAAGTAAATATACCAGTTACAGACTGGCAAGATACTCTGAGGACTATGCAAAATGCTCTGATAAAAAAATAAGGCTTGTTTAAATAAGATGCCCAGGGAAGCTTCTCCGGGGACACCGCCCTGAAGGATGACAAGGTTTTGCTGGGCAAACAGCAGGAGAGGAGTCTCCATAAACCGGATGAGTGAGAGGCACCAAGCCTGTTGTGCTCTGGTACCTGAAAGGAAAAGTCTCCTCCTGGAAGGGGACACGGGGCAAGGGTGGTGAGGCAGCTTCCAAATCACGACATTGACAGGCCATTGGCGCCTCATCCTCAGGCAATGAGAAGTCTTGCCTCAGCTTCAAGGCTTGGCTCCCATCTTTGACTTGTGTGTTATTTGGTACAATAAGGGGACTTAGCACAAACAGCTCATGCAGTTAAGCCTGCTTTTGCTGTCGTTTAACTCTGTGCCGCGCACTCTTACTGCTCTCCTCCAAGGCTGTCCCCCCACACCCTGGCTTATTCTGTACACTCTGATCTCTTCTCCTGGGGAACTGAGGCGGGGCAACATGGAAGCTTGGACTTTGTGATCAGTCAAGAGAAAACACAGGATTCAAACGTGAACTCAACACATTACAGGAAAGATTTTGTTTCTTTTGTGATTGGGCTCCAAATGCCTGGGACCACATTCTGTACTTCACGGACATGACATGTAATCCAGGAAAGAGTGAAAAAATCAAAACAAAACATCAGGCTGGTCGACCTGAGACTGGGAGGATGGAAGTGGACTGATGCTAGGTTGCTGGTCTTAGGCTCTGACCCTTTTGGGCTGCACTGGTTCCTTCATTCTGTGCAGTATCACAGCAGCCTTCCAATAAATCTCTGTCACTTATATTCTTTAGGTTTGTTTGAGTTCAAGTTTTGTGCCCTATAACTAGAAACACACAAATGCAGATTCCTAGTTTTCTCACAGGTTACAGGCCCATCCTTTCCACCTTCCTGCATGAACTGGATGTTAACATTACTGAAAGAAAGCTCATGTTTCCAAAGCAGGTTTGTCAGAAGATTTCTACCACTGAACAACACACTTTGACTATCTCCCAATCTTCTGAGATTCCCTTTGCCAGAGCACCAGTTAAGGAATTGAAAGACCCTAATTTAGTGTGCGTGATATCTGCAATATGGGATTAGTGTATCATCTCTTCACAGATACACAACTG